GGACTGTTGCCCAGTGGTCCAAAGTCCTCTTTTCAGATGAGAGCAAGTTTTGTATTTCATTTGGAAACCAAGGCCCTAGAGTCTGGAGGAAGGGTGGAGAAGCTCATAGCACAAGTTGCTTGAAGTCCAGTGTTAAGTTTCCACAGTCTGTGAGGATTTGGGGTGTGAACTTTTAAAACAGCTTGCAGTAAGATAAAGCCTGCAATCAGTGAGAATACATCCAGCGGAAAGAAACAGTGATGCGGTGGAGAGGAAGGAAATGGGGTTGTTTAGTATGAGGTGGTACGATGACAGCAGCATGTGAGGAGGATCTGGCTGATGGCAGGAAGCCGTGGGCAATGAGACACAGAGACAGAGAAAGAGCCATGGTCGGTTCCCCTCATCAGGAATTTGGCAGCCAGAGGAGGGCTGTGTGTCCTTGCCCATCAGGCACCGCTCAGAGAGAGGGGGTCCTTGCCAGTCAGTCTATCAATCACACCGCTCCAAAAAACCTGGCCAATCTGTGGCCCGTCTGCCACACTGGCTGCACATACAACAAAGCAGTCTGTCCACCCAACTCGCCTGTATGGGGTTGTAATATGAGGCACTGCGAAATCATGGAGCTTTTAGTGGAGGGAAGCAAGATTATGTTCTGAGAAATACAAAGCGAGCGACACGCAAATACACGCCCAACACGCTGAAATACTTAAGAGGAATTGAGACGCAGAGAACTATATTTGCAAATCAAATGGGAGTCTTTAGAGACACTCGTTGGACGAACGCCCATGCAGAACTGAACACACATACGCTCACATGCCAAGACTAGATTTGGGAACAGTGCTCCACTGAAGATTCAATCACACCCACAGTCACGTACACAAAATCTGCTCTTCTATTGTGAAAGAATAGTGGTTCCGCAGGCAATGCGTCATATGCTGCTCAGCTAAAAGTAGTGTTGCAACACTTAAAACACATGAAGCTGACACTTGTTATTTTTTGTCCTTTTAGACTTGTATACTTACAAATTTTTATACTTTCATTCTGAACCAAAATAAAGAAACTCAAGGTCACAGCTCACTTCCTGTTACCCATGTGGCCTGATTTGTTTGCACTACTTGTTTATTGTGTTACCAAAGTCAGTTCTTCAGGAAATGGATTTGAACCTAGACCACTTTTTTCGGCAACAATGAAATGTTTATAGCATGCATGCATGTTTATGTGCACTGCATTGTGGGCATTGACACTCTAGACGCACTAGATCTCACCTAAATATAGATGTTTTTGATCATATTTAGATATATTTTAATTGTATTAATTTAAGAGTTAAAAGTTTAATAATAAATATAAAGTACTTTATTATATAAATTATTTACTTTATATTTTTATTAAAAAAAAAGTAATAAAAATGTTTGATTGTTTATTTAAATATATTTTATTGTAGTATTATGTTTATAAAAACACGTTTATATGTTTATGTATTTTAAAATATTTAAACTATTTTTAATTTAGGTTGAATTATTTGTAAAAATATTTCAACATTTTTAGTAACATAAATAATTGTTTATTAATATAAATATGTAAATGTTTTACTATATTTAAACGTTTTATGTTTATAAAAACATGTTTATATAAATGTTTTATATATTTTAATATACTTAAAATATATTTTTAATGTAATCATTTGAAAATAATTCTTATATTTTAAAATAATTTTATAATTTTAATTTATAAAATATAATTAAAATTTATATTTTTCAAAGATATTCCAAATATATTAAATATGTTTTAATCATAATATTAAATTTAATATTAATAATTAAATTGAATTAATATTATATTTTTAATAATAATAATTTAAATAATAAATACTGTAAATGTTTATTAATATATTATGTTTTTGGATCATTGTATGCATGTTCATATATTTACTTATCTTTACTTTTTTTTTGCATTTTTGTATTTACTTTGCCCTGGTGTGGTGTATATTGTGTATGTTTCTGCTTGTAGATATGGACATTTTCCTACCACAGGGGCCCTTTTCTAGGTTGACATTGGGATTAGCATAGGACCGCCCACCTGGAATACTTGTGTACAGAGGATACAGAGAGACCAGTTCAGGACAGAAACACAATACCAGGCAGGAAATGAACAGCATCTACTGATAACTCCTCTCTGCTTCTACCTGTCCCTCCATCAGCAGCAATCTGCCCTCTGCCTTCGCATTGTGATGCAAATCAAGTCCCTGGTTGGAGAGCTGATAAGGAGGTCTCTCATTTCAGTGCGCTTTGTTTCCCAGACAGAGGAGAGCTTAGCGGAGGGGACACAGAGAGGGCCTCCGGGCTGACATAAGAACCCATCCCATTGTGCACCCTGGAGAAGTGTTGACTGCTATTTGGGAAGAGGTGTTAGAGGGAGGGAAAGCGACTGGGGTTTTTACGGCAAGAACCGTCTCGGGTTGTTGAGAGATCCTGATGGATTTTTGTCCCTCTCCCCCTCCAATTCTTTTTACTCTCAGCTACTCAGACGGTGTCAATCAGTAGCTATTTCTTCACGCCACATGCAGTTTGCGGTCCTTTTCAGGCGCTTGTCATTACCAGCGTTTTGCCAGTATTGCTATATAAACAAATGAGTTCACGCTAGGTTCAGTGGAGAATATTGATCCAGCTGTGCAACATTTAGTTCAAAGCGTATTCAAAACACGTATGTGTTGTGACAGCATACATGTTTGGGTTTTATACAAGAATTATTTAATGTGACCTATTATGTTTTGATAGCCTTTTTGCGAAAGTTCTTCAGTTATTTTGATATTAATTTGCTAGTTAACAAATCAACTCAAAGCAAATCATGAAATAATTAAATTAGGGAAGCATATACTATCAGCTAATAATCGATAACGGCTGAGCAATTATCCGCACTATTGGGCATCCGAAAACAGCCATTGATCAGGGCTGATTAAATCCTGTTAATCAAAACATTGAGTGATTTTCAGAATTCAGTTAATAGGAGTTAAGAACATCCAAAAAGTTAAGAAATCTTAATTTAATGTTCAGTATTCTGTTCATTTGAGTAATGTTACTGGAAAACATGTTAATATGGAGAGAGTAAAAGTTATTTACATTTCTTTCAGAATTATATAATGAATTATCATTCATTTGAAATAAGGTAAAAAGGAGAACCACCAATCTATCGGCAGATATCAGTCTAAATAATCAGATATCGGTATTGGCACAGAAAATCTGTATCGGTTCATCTCTAAACTAAACTGGAACCTGTTCTGATAACATTCCTCTTTTGTACTTCAAAGTACACCAGTAAAAAAATAACTAACTTGACATTGCACAACAGTTGGGAAACAAATGTCATGCAGGTTGCTAGTTCAAACGCAATTAGCCTTTTTACACATCATATACTCAGAAAGCTTGCATTTCTCACTCTCGATTGAAGAATAAGCAATTTGTTTGTAACCATGGCCATGAACAGAAGGCCCTACTGTATTTGAGCTCGACCTTAAATGGGACTATTTGCCTCTCCTCATTCACCCCTCCACCCTCGTCCCTTTTTCTTTCTGTTTTCTATCAAATTCCTCTTTTTATGCCCCCTTTTCTTCTTTTGAAGTCTCCAAACTCTTGTAAAAGGCCAGGCTGGTGGTTTTTGCTGAACCCTGTGGTGGGACAGCGAGGGAGGGGTTGTAGGTTAAGTTTAGGCTTTCCATTGAAGGTGGCTGAAGAAGGTGGGGCAATAAAAGTTAGAAGTTTAGAGCCTCTCTGTTTTTTTTTTTTTACTAGCTCAGGCTACAGCTGGTGGTGTGAATGGCTGCCCGAGGTGTCTGAGTCTTAATAAAGATCCCGCCAGCCGGGCTGGGGCCTCCTGTCCAGCCATGAGACCACCTTTATAGGCCTAGCTTACGAGCAGGGGCCTCTATTAAAACCTAGCAGGACTGCACTGAGGAATTTAGGACCGGGAAACAAGAGAAAAATAGAATTTGTGTGTCAAAGAATGGCCAAAGTGAAGGCTGGGAGGTTGAATTTTGAGCGACCAAGGGTAAAAGTTGACTTTGGCATGTGAAAATGTGAAATCAAATGTCTTTAAGGGTTTAATCTTTTATGATATCTCAAATTCATGACTAGGGGTGTAACAATACACTCAAGTCACAAATTGGTTCATTATGTGATACTGATCTCATGATATGAAACTCTCACAATACTATAAACAAAACACCAAAATAAAGTTAAAATGGTACATTGTTTAAACTATTGCTTTTATGACATGATAAACAGTTAACAAAAAGTAGTATTATTTATAAGTTATTAATAATCATTTATAAACATGAAAGCTAAAATATGTGACCTCCTAGGTTTACCATATTTGATGCTAAATTAATTCTGTCTAAATGTCGTTTTTGGATGAACTATAGATGATACATGTTGTCACAGTTCACAATATATATTGTAATTCTTGACGTCAGAATTAGTTAGACATGAGACACTCGTCCCGCATGCAAGATGCCAAACGCAGGGTGGAGTTTTTCCCCCAGGCTGTGACACAGATGAGCTACCTGTCTTATCGGCTCCACTTATCTGTCTGCTAGTGTTAAACTGTTTGTTTTCTTTTCTTTCCAGTGTCAATCACCGCAGCCGAATCCCCTAAAATACTGTCCCCTTAAGGACAGGGTGGGCGGAGCTAGAGGGAGATGAATTCAACAGACACGTTAACTAGACTTTTACTTAGTTGGCTGATGCCTTGCATACAAAAACAGACTAAAAAGCAACGATAGGTAGCGTCTTGTGTGTTTCTGCTCGAGGGAATCATGAAAAAGGTTTAGCGAGGAATCATGATGGTTTTTAAAGCCCTCGTGGGTCTTTGAAATTGGATACGGTTTAAAAGGTTCACGGGGGAATCTTTTCTTCTCTCCATGTGGTGTTTAATATCTCCCTCTCATTAAATCCTCCCGTGTTGTGTAAATAGTGTGAAGTGATGTGATTAGATGAAGCGTCTGATGTTTTCTTTTCTCTCCTCTTCAGCGGTGGAGACCCAGAGCACCAGTTCAGAGGAGATGGTACCCAGCTCCCCTTCTCCACCACCTCCACCGCGTGTTTACAAGCCCTGCTTCGTCTGCCAGGACAAGTCTTCCGGGTACCACTATGGTGTCAGTTCTTGCGAGGGCTGCAAGGTAAACCGCAGAACTCCCATCGCCTGTGGCCTGACGAATCTCATGTTTTTCATGAGTCTGTTACACAATTTGTCTTGACGTTTGGCAAAAATGTGAAAAATACAGTGAGAGACATGGAGGTTTAGCTCTCGCGTGTTAAAAAAAACTTGAATATATTAAGAACTTTTGCTCCTGTCAACACCAAGAAACTGAAACTGACAGCATAACTTGTATGAAAAACATACAAAAGGTCACTTGAAAAGGATACAGTTGCGCAGTATCAGCTACACGAGACACCAAGTAATGGGGACAGTATGTTAAAGGGATAGTTTACCCAGAAATTACAATTCTGGTATAATTTATTCACCCTACAGTTGTTTCAAACCTGTTTAAATTTCTTTCTTCTGTTGAACTCAAAAGATGTTATTTTGAAGAATGCTGGTAACCAAACATCTGACTGAACACTTCATTTTTGCGTGAACTGTCCCTTTAAAGCAATGAAAGGAAATGCAATGCAATTTTAGTATGTTTAAGGGGTAAAATATGTGTTGTACCATATACCACTGTGGTAAAATACAACTATAGTCAAGACTCAAGCAGCTTATTGCGTTCAAACATACTAAAACAATAAATGAATTGTCCTATATATATATATATATATATACAGTGAATTACAGGCCTCTCTCATCTTTTTAAGTGGGAGAACTTGCACAATTGGTGGCTGACTAAATACTTTTTTCCCCCACTGTATATATATACATGCATGCACACAAATATTAATAAAATTACAAAAAAAAGATTCTTCATCCAAGTAAGGGGAAGTTCACAGAGAAGTTTCTCAATATCCATTTTTGTTAAACAAACAACTTCTGACTTAACTGAGCATCTTAAAAATGTGACCTTCATGGCACAAAATGTTGAAAAAACCTGTCTAGCACACGTTTACATACAAAAACATTTAATGGACACAATAACATGTTCTGTGTGAACAGGTCTAGTGAGTTTCATTAACCCATTTGTAAGCTTTTTGCCGCAAGTAATAATAGAATTTGGCACATTAACAATATTTCGACTAATTCAGTTAATGTTTGGTCACAGGTAAAAGGGCCAACACTTTGAACATGACTTATCAAATTTTTGACTATCCATTTATATAACACTAACAAAATACTTAGCAAAAAAACATTTTGGATCAGAACCTTTGAACGATATACTGACAGCTTGTGTAAGAGAAATGATAGGAGGGGGACGGTGGTTGACCTAGTCTTTAGCTGACCTACTCGCTTTCTCTTGAATGTCTGTTGCAGGGTTTCTTCCGTCGCAGTATTCAGAAGAACATGGTGTACACCTGCCACCGTGACAAGAACTGCCAGATCAACAAGGTCACACGCAACCGTTGCCAGTACTGCCGGCTGCAGAAATGCTTTGAGGTTGGCATGTCTAAGGAAGGTGAGGATTCAGGCCTCTGCCAGGCACACGGGCTCCGTGGCATTCGGCCAAGACCCACATACACCAACACAAATATAGAGACAGGACAGGAGACAGACGGGGACACGCTGATATAGGTTAGAAGCTGTGAAACAGACATACAACCCAGAGACACACAGACAAATTTAGAGTCGTGAGACTCGAGTGCCAGGACACAGAGGCATAAACAAACGGCAGATGACTGTAAACTGCCAGTTTGAGACACTTAAAGACACAAAAGACAAATAAAGTTCAAACACAAACCAATAAAGCTGGTTAGCATGGAGGTTAGAGCTCAATATGAATGTTCACTTCACAAATGGGTTTCGCGTCACAAGTTTCACCCACATCAATCCATCAACGATAGGTGTGATTTCTTTGGTAGCCCTTCCTCTAGTCACTTTATGACTTGGCATTAACAGATTTGTGTTGGAACAAAGACAATAGCCCGAGGTTGAAAGACAGAGTCTGGGGCATGTGTTTGTTCATTTGCCAGGGTCACGGCGATGATGTCACGGGGAGAGTGGCACATTGGCCCTCTATGTGTCCGCTGGGACATGTATGTGTGCGTTTATATGTATGAGATGTGTGTAGGGACCAGGATCACATTGTGCTTTTGCTATTACTGGATATCCTGAGAGGAAGGAAAGAATGGGAGGGGGGGCGAGAGAAGGAGGGGAGGGGGGTTTAGGGTTGGCAGGGCTGCTCTCCCTTGGGTCAGACTCACCAAAACACCCACGAAGTCTGATCTGAGGTCAGTTTCCATGTATTAGTGATTACATTTGGAAGTCGGTATACGGTAACGTTGTGTCTTAACCAAGTAAAATAATGCAACATGTGATAAATGGGTTAATGTTGATTTTGAGATTTTCCGAACAGGTGATATGCGACAAGATGAATCTGTCAAGAACATTTCTTGGCCATATTTCACCTCAAAATCTATAGAAAGAAATTTTAAATATTATACAATTCAATTATATTTTTGTAAATATAGGAGCATATTTTTATTTTATTATGTATTATTTTAATGACAATTAAACATATTTCCCATTGCAATTATATATTTTTATATGTTTGTTATTTAAATCATGGTGGTTTTTGTTAGTTTAGTTTTATTTTTCAAGCAGCTTATTGCTTTTAGATGTAATAAAACAATATGAAACTGGCATTAGGATGAAAAATGCCAATGTCTGATATATTAATTGACCTCTGTATTATATACAGTATGTGTGTATATATATATATATAAGAAATACGAAGAAATATAATTAAATAAGAAATATAAATAAAATGTAAATGAAGAAAAATATAAATAAGTAAAACATTATTGAAAATTAAGAATAAGTACTGAGAAGCATCACAACTTTTTTTTTGGGGGGGGGGGCGTATATTAAACAAATTGTAGCATTTTTGCAGCAATTCTGAGAAATTAAAATCTCAAAATCATCAGAAGTTTTTTCTGGCACATCATTTTGTAGAGTTTGACGTGAACCTGAGGCCTATTCAAAACAAGAGCAGCAATATTGACTGTTTTTGCGCATCGATGGTATTCACACTGAGGGCAACGCAAATTTTCTCTGAATTTTTGAAGAATGCTGGTAACGCATAAAAAGAAAGTATAAGTAATTATAATCAGTAATTATATCCCCACTGGATGCAACAAATGCCTCGTTTATAATGGGTTTTATTGGTTTTGTCTCATTGTGCCGGGACACGGCATCACAGTATGCTAAGGCGCTTACATTTCCGTCACACGCCAATCACAACGCACTAGATAGCTGGCCAATCAGAGCACACCTCGCTTTTCAGACCGATGAGCTTTGTAAAAATCGACACGTTTCAGAAAGGCGGGGCATAGAGGAGAAACAATAATGTACATTATATGGAAAATAATGTGTTTTTTAACCTTAGACCGCATAAACACATTTCATTACACCAAATACACAAAATAAATAAATTCTTTTTTAGCAACGTCATATGACCCCTTTAAAGCAAAATATACTGCCAAATTAATATATATATATTAAAGAAACTGTGGTACTTTTTCAGGGTTCTTTGCTGAATAGAACATTTCAAAAAACAGAATTAATTTGAAATCTAAATCTTTTGTAAGATTTGTAACATTTTTGGATTTTTTTTTTTAATTGATACCCAAAATTGGTGTGAAAATCTATTTGAATAGGCTTTCACTTTCTGCTAGGTACTTTTTACCTTAATACATATTATTATGTAGACCGCACCATCCTGAAATTAACTGTTTGTGTGAAACAGGAGCAGAAAGGGCCATAACTCTCAAGATGGAGATTCCAGGTCCCATGCCTCCTCTCATTCGAGAGATGCTGGAAAACCCAGAGGCCTTCGAGGATCAGGCTGAGTCCACAGAGAAGAAGCCCGAGCTCGAACAGCCCACTACTCCACCCGCCCTGCTTACTATGAAGAAAGAGCAGGAGGACGAGGATGACAGCTGGGCCACAGAGAACGGCAGTGAGCCTTCACCGGAGGAGGAGGATGACGATGACGACGACGGAGAGGAGGAGAGGGGTACAGACAGCGACGGAGAGGCCTGGGGCGGCCAGGAACCCAATGTGGACGTGTCCAGAAAGAGCCATGGAGGAAGAGCTCAGTGAGGAAGCTTTCTTCTTCCAGCCTTACCTGTACAGACACTCCTAACTCAGGCCACTCGGGCAACGATGAGAGACATCAGTGAGTCGATTTGAAGAAACTCACGTAAAAAACCTCTTCTCAGGACCTCTCCCGCAGAACGAGAGGGAAGGCGAAAGACAAAACAACTGGCTTTTCAGACAAAATAACTGCCGCTTTTATAAAACTTGTTTGTTTGCTTTTGAAAAGGAGAAGCCAAATGGACGTATACCATTAACAGCTGACTCTCAACGGGTTCAAAAAAGTCTTTCAAAAGATAATACAGGATGAGAACTGAAAATGCTAATCTTTTTCTGTCGTCGTTGATGCTTTTGAATATCATTTTGACTTTTCAGCCTTGAGATGGTTTGTTCTCTTTACATTTTATGAATAAGCCCATACATATCTATATATACACCTTTATATATTTTTTTGTCCTGTATTGTATTTTCTTAGTTATATTTTGTTTGGATAGCTTTCCTGGGCAGACTTACAGAAAGATAATCGGATTGCTATAACTGGCAGACCTCTGCTGAGTCTTTATCCAGCTGCTTGGTTGGGTTCTTGGGCACTTTGGCTCAGCATTAGATGTCATTGATAATCAGTTCAGTGGCTGGGTATTTCCCGTCGAATGATCCGTGTTTTTAGGAGAATGCCATTACGTATCGGCTTTTATTTGGTAATATGATTCGCTGCCAATTGAATGGTGTGTCTGTGCCAAAGTTTGCAGCTTGTAGGGTTCAACTCCTGTCAGGGAGCCCAGCTCCAAACAGAAAACACCCACATGTCCATTACCTTCAAGTCTCTGCATCATGCATATGATGTCATACTGGACCGGTTTCATTCAGAGTGCTCAGGCAGAAGTTGTGCAGCGCTCCAGTCAAATTAAAAGACTGCGTGGGATTTGACCTCATCGGCCTAGACCAGTGGTTTTCAAACATGACCTGGAGGACCCCCTGCCCTGCACATTTTGAATGTCTCCCTAATCAGACACACCCAATTTAGTTCTTGCAGTCTCTACTAATGAGCTGATGAATGGAATCAGGTGTGTTTGATGAGGGAGACATACAAAATGTGCAGGGCTGGGGGTCCTCCAGGACAGGTTTGAAAACCCCTGGCCTAGACAATTCTTCAGGATTACTACACAAATGCTTCTGGACAGTTTTTTGAATCTCATATGTCACAATGAAATACAGGAACGCACACACACACACACTTGAAAAGCATGCTACATATATTCAGATCTCTTGCTATAAACAAGAAAAACATGAAATTCAGACTCAGGGGCATCTCTGTAAGGACCAAACGCTTGCTGTCTGGCGGCAGCCTAGAAACAGGCAATATGTATGTGTGTTAAGTTTCAGAAATCCCGCCGTGGCACTAATGAGCTGATGAATGGAATCAGGTGTGTTTGATGAGGGAGACATACAAAATGTGCAGGGCTGGGGGTCCTCCAGGACAGGTTTGAAAACCCCTGGCCTAGACAATTCTTCAGGATTACTACACAAATGCTTCTGGACAGTTTTTTGAATCTCATATGTCACAATGAAATACAGGAACGCACACACACACACACTTTATGATGTTTTTGTCTTTCGTTACGCTTAACAGGCCATGGTCACACTGTTCTAATGAGGAGAAACAGAAGCAGCGAGGACTTTCTTTTAAAAAAAAATCTTATTTTGTGCTCTACAGAAAATCATACTCGTCTTGAACGTCACGAGGGTGAGTAAATGATGACACAAATTTAGCTGGCAATATTCACAATGAAACAACGGGTGTGCAATCTAAATCCGCAAAGAATTCATCCAGCAGAGGGCGATAGTGCACCACAGATTAGCTCTAATGGCCCTGCTGGCTGGAGAAATGTAATTGATCAAACCTAACCACACACAAACACTTCTGAGACCAAACCTAATGGATCCTGCTAGTGTGCCCTCATTGATCTGCATGTGTCATACAGTAATTATCTGAGGACAAAGAAACACCCCTGCATTACTCATACTGGAGCATTAAAGGCTTAGACATGAGACAGCATGGGCGGATGGTTATGATGAAAATTTGGTTTCATTAAGAAGAATGAATTAATTATTTTAGATAATTACATTTGTGATAATTAAAAAGTATTTAATATAGTATTAAATACTTCTTAATTGGTTAAATGAAACTGTCAATTTTGAAATAGCATTACCAGATCAAGAGATGTTTATTTAACATTATTATTATTATTACTATTAAATATGTATCATATTACAAGGTAAATTAACTTCGGAATTTATTTTGGTTTATCTCTGAAGTGTTTCTGAATGATAAAGATGACCACACCCTTTCTATCATGTTTTCATATTCTCAATACCCATAAAGGACAAGTTCATATGGATTCATTCATGTCTTTTCTGAATTCGTGGACGGACACAGTACTTGATGGATTTAGACTTGGCCACTTTATTTGTAAAGAGCACACAGGGGCTCACAATATACAATTCTATTTATTCATAGCTCAAGGGGATTGTAGTAAACTGGGGTATGGTACTCTTAATTAAAAGATTACTATAATTAAGTTTCATTAAAAAGATCAATAAACTAGGGCTAAGATTAAAAACAAGGCCCATACATTATACACTGGTTTACAAGGACCCCATATATTAAATCCCAATGAGATGTTGCCTTGGGAACACAAGGCAGATAGGCTGAGGAGATGGATTTAAAGAGGCAGGACAGGATTTTCTTTCCATGGCGAACCCGCACTACTTCCTGTGGTGTTCTGTGCATAGCGCTGAGAATAATGAGAGTTAAATGAAGGAGAAAAGAGCAATAATGAAAGGCGAGAACAAAGTCTAGGCTACGATTGTTCCAATTACAAAAACAACAAAAGAGGCGCATGTGGAGAGATATTCATTTATTCTGATTAAAGCCATTTAAATGGCTATCAATGAAACCTGCAAAAAATAAAAAGAACTAGATTCTTTTGAGTGGAGTGGTGTTTGTGAAGATGAATTATGGTCAAATGTGGCCCCTTTTTGTCTCTCTTATGTAGTCTAATAACTAATTTTCATATTTCACAACTGCAACTTGAAACCTGTTTATTTCTTAGAATTATGACTTTAAATCACAACATGCTATGCTTGAAAACAAAGAATTACAGCTTTAGCATCTTTATGTTTTTGCAGCTAACTGTATATTTTGTAAATGTGACTTTTCTAGTGGCTGATAAAAACTGAATTGATGTAGGCGTACAATATCAATATCATACTGCAGTATCGTAATTGTGTTGAAGAGGTGTCTGGGACAAATAAAATGCCATTTTTTCTAATTTTGCATTGTGAAAACGGTCGCGCATTAGTTTCACCCAAAAATGAAAATGTGCTCAAATGTATTCACTCTCAGGCCATCCAAGATGTAGAGGAGTTTGTCTCTTCACCGGAACAGATTTGGAGAAATTTAAATGACATTACTTGCTCACCAACGGATCCTCTGAAGTGAATGGGTGCCGGCAGAATGAGAGTCCAAACAGCTGATAAAAACATCACAAAAAGCCACATGTAATCCAAATGACTCCAGTCCATCAATTGTCTTGTCAAGTGAAAAACTGTGTGTTTTTAAGAAACAAATCCATCATTAAGACGTATTTAACTTCAAACCGTTACTTCGGCTAAAATACAAGGCCTCTATCTATAATTGTGCTTTCTTCAGTAAAAAAGTCATTTTGTTCTGTTTGAATCGGAAGAGCAATATGCACAGATCAAACACTGTTTTCAAGAGAAAACAGTTCTATATGGTTCTTTTTCACTAGAGGAAGCATTATTGTGAATTATTGACTCGTATTTTGTCCAAAAGCAACAGATTAGGTGAACTATTCTTCTAATCACTGTTCATCTGTCAATTTTGTGTTTGCAGTACCTTGTTTCTCTCAGCTTGAGGCTCCAGGCAGTCAGTGACCCGGGCCATAATCCATCCTTGATTGGAAGTGGTGGCGGGGACATGGCTATGTAGTTGCTAAGGTATTAATTTTTGGCACATCACTAGGGTCGTCTGGCTGGTTGCTAGGTGGTTTCTCACTTATCCACCCCCAAGTCTATATTATGTTGTAGTCTGCTATAGATGTGTCTCCTTTAATGAGATTTTCTTTCTTTTGTTTTATTCTTTCCCTGGAAAAAGTTGTAAATCTATTCACTAGAAATGTAATGACACCCCTCTCCTCAGCAAACTGCATGATTTGAGGTATCATTCATGTCAGTAGCACAAACATGTAGAATTATTAATAATATTAATAATAATGCATTAAAGTTTAGGAAATATTACTTTAAAAATGCAGAATGAAAGTGAGGAAAAAAACATTCAGACAAAAATTGAACTCAAAATAAGGTATTGGGATGTAAAAGAAAAGAATGACTCTAATATCTTGCCCAGCAAGTGGAGATCATACAGGCTGCACTGGTTTAGTGCCATTCAATCAACTTGTAATAAAATGCAAAATGACCCATAATATATTTTTTCATTTCTAATGTTAGAGAAAAGATTCTGGCTGGAGGTGTTTGGAGAAGAAGAGAGACATATAGACGAGATTATACGTTACACATCCTCTGCAGAAAACCGGGGCAGTGCCTTCCTAAAAGACATGAAAATGCAGAAAAGGAAAGAGAGAGAGGTAGATAGCTAAGGAGGGAGGGAAGGAAAGAAGGGGAGCAGGTAAAATGTTGTAATGCCAGGGTGCAGTGCTGTGGCCTCAGGCTCTTCATATCTTTTACATTTCTAATTAAAAGAGATAAAGAGTGAAGGAGTCATCAATCCTAGAGTGATTTCCCTGTAAAGGTTTTAGAGGCAGCCGTAAAGCAGGTAGCCCAGCTCCATTGATTTTATAATTAGCTCCCGTCATGCTGCTAGGGGAGTGAGTGTGGAGAGGAGGAAAAAAACATGGGACAGCTAGAGAGGGAGTGGTATAGGAAAAGCAACAGAGGGAAAAAATGGGGTGAAGGTCAGCAAAAAGTTGTTAAAAAGCAAGAGAGGATAACAGGAGGCCAATGGTCCAATTCAACACAAGTATCTTTACAGGTAAATCAAAAGCCAGCGTAGTGCATCCATAGTCTAGTGTACCTTTAGGACCTTTTTTTTTAAAAACTAATTATTACAATAATGTTTGGATATTGTTAACAACAACTAGTTAATATTAAAGTTTTATATACAATATTTATACAATACTAATATATATATATATATATATTAGTATTGTATAAATATTGTATATAAAACTTTAATTTTTAATACGATAATGACTGGTACTAATGAATAAAAACAAATGTAAAATCTACCAAAAATCTATATGGTACTGACGTACTGTGCATCCCCAATCTAGGTTTATGTTAATTTCTGCATATACTAGTATATTTGAACATTTCAAGTTGTATAAATTAGACAATTCAAACATGAATTAAAGGGATAGTTCGCCCAGAAATAAAAATTCTGTCTCCATTTACTCACCCTCCAGTCGTTATATATATATATATATATATATATATATATATAAATATATATATAAGCATATATTTTGACGAATGTGCGTAACCAGTCTTTGGTCCCCATTGACTTCCATTGAAAGTTTATGTAAATGATCATTTTTGGGGAACTATCCCTTTAACAATAAACAATATGAATAATATTATGTAATAAATTTAAAAAATGTTAATTGTTAATGTTACTAATGCATTAATTAATGGTAACAAATTACCCAATATTTAAGAAGAGCCAATGGACATAACAAACATTCCATTATTTTATTAATGAAACCCATCCCACACCCTGAACAGAACGGCATAACCTAAAAACAAATTAGACAAGTAAAAGACGGAATAACTGCACAAAAAGAGCAAATAATAAATCCAATTCTTTGATTGTATTGCCCTGAAATGACCTGCTTTCTCTTAGATATTATTCAATCTCAAGAAAATGGACAACCATTACTTGGGACTAATCTTAATATATGCCCTGCCATAAACAGGTTTCTGGCTGTAGTATAGTGGGTAACAGCCACAGGAATCTTTCAAGTGAAGTGTATCTCATGAAAATAAGAACCATTTTTAATCTCTGATATCCTGATGCTAAGATGACGCTCTAAATACAGCTTTAAACTATCATAGTAAAACCTGGTCAAGCGTACAATACAAATACAGTAGACCGATGGATACAGAGTGACCACAAAAGCTTGTTTCAGTGAGTTGTTTAAAGTCAGTACAGATTATGGCATGTTGTATAAAAGGCGAATAACATATAGGAGCTATTTAAACTTGACCCTACAGCAGTGGTTCTCAAACCTGTCCTGGAGTACCCCCAGCCCTGCACATTTTGTATGTCTCCCTCATCTATCACACCTGATTCAACTCATCAGCTCATTAGTGGAGACTGCATGACCTGAAGTGGGTGTGTCAGATATAGAGAGACGTGCAGTGCTGGGGGTACTTCATGGAGAGGTTTGAGAACCACTGCCCTACAGTAAACCGCAAGAACAAATCAACCAAACAAAATAAAAGTTCTGCAAATACAGTGAGCCCAACAGGAAAATGTTTCAAACATTAGAAAAGAAAATACTTCTTTTTTTTTAATGTATAATACCTTTTCATAATATTCCCCCCCCCCTTAATTATTTCTCTTTTTAATATATGCATTAAAATATTCTCCCTGTGAATGTAATGAAAATGTAATCATGGTGTCTTGAAATTATGAATGTCTCCTCAGGAAATGAGCTTCAGCAAAGTTTAAACACGGCCAAATAATGTTCGCCACATGATCCACGTGACGCACCATTAAGCCATCACACATTAAACTGAATTAAACATGAGATTCCTTGAATTTCGTGAGGGACAATTTAAAGCAGTTCAATTCATGCCTTAAAATTAAAAGTCCTTCTTGCAGTACTGCAAAAACTTTCTAATGTATCTCCAACCTCAAGAGGAACATTAAGTAGTTCATCTGTCTGTCTTAGTACATTTTGGACACAAATAATAATTTCATCATTTTTGTAAAACAGCGTTTCAATACAATGCATAAAACTAGGATAAAGCACCAAATATATATTTAGAGGAATTCAATTTAAAGAATTCAATTAAAGTGACTAATTAAACTTCATAATTCCCCTAGCCTCCATGGTAAAGTGGATTTCCTCCAAAGAACATCTGGCGCATATGAATATTACATCCTGAAAAAATATCTAAAGTGCCACTCTTTACTCTTACATCTAAACAGGATGATCAGTCGCTGGTGTATCCCATTACACATAATCAATCATTTAATGTGTGAACTTTCACACAATCTTTCTTCAAAGTAAGAAAAAAAAAACTTCTATCACAAGACCCACAAAATCAAGAGCACCCAAACTAAATCTTACATTTAAAACCTGAAAGAATCTCTATGACATTGTGCTTTACATTATTGCTGATGCAGATTAATGATAATCGTTATATCAGTACAAGTCATATGACAGAACACAAGAAAATCAAGATTGAAAAAAACAACCATAACACACACACACACACAGAGAAACATGCTTTACTTTCTCTGCTTCAAATACAACCTTTCTCTCGATCTGCTCATTACAGACGCCTTCTGCTTGTCAGTTGATATGTGTAAAATAACACGTCTGTGCAAGTTACTGTAAAACCGTGTGCGACATAAAGAGGTCTAATAGCTTATGTATATTCTAAGTGCATATAAAGTGTAAAGCAAATTGCATATTTAAATACTCATGTCAATATAATATAAAGCGCAAATGCTTCTAAATACAAAACTCGTAACACGTGTGTTGCCCTGCAAAGCAGTCCACGCTGCACTGGCCCTCAGGTCCTGCAGTTCTGCTCCTCACCACAAAGGGCTCTCTGCCAGATCTCTGCATGACAACACACACAACAGGACAAACATGAGTTTGGTGCATTTATAGATGGCAGAGGGTGAAAGAGATGGATAGAGAGAGGGAAACTGACGGAGGGCATGGAGGAGTAGAGTTAGGGAGAGAAAGAAAGAGGGTGAAGGAGAGAAGTGAGGGAGAAAGGGTTTTAATGATGCTGAAAATTGGCCGGTGAGCGCTGTCTACCCTCTCAGTAAATCATTGCTACAGCTTCCTGTCAACTTATCTGTCCTCTTGTCCTCCCCTCACAGAACTCCCCCATCCTTTCTCTCGCTCTCTTCTCCCTCACTAATTTTATGAGGTGGTATTCAAAACTTCCATCTCCTCACCATATTCAGACTGTCACCATAAATAAAGGCCTGCATTAGTGTGTGCGAGTGTGCAAAGACAGAAAAAGAGACAGACTGTGACAGGGAGATATAAAGCGAGGCGTTCGGAAGAGAGAAGGGCCGAATGTTTTTTGTGACAGTGACATATTTACTTGTATGGGTTGTGTAAGAGTATATGTGAAAATCTATCTGAGCCCGTGTCTGCAGGTCACAGATAACGACAGTGTGACCGATGGGGTTTATAGACAGTGAATGTGTGTTTGTGCATGCTGTACCCGAGGGTAGTGTCTCTGTTGTCAGGCAGGAGAAGAGCCGTCTCCTCTCCAGAGCTGTGCCCTCCTGACTGAGCGGCCTCATACTCTTCCTCCTGTAAAACACACACGCAATCACATGCTCATGAATAAAGGGCCTATTCACAGCAAGTCTGAAGAACGAGCACAACCAGATTTTTAAAACTGCATAGTGCAGTGAACTACTTCACACTGAGTTTGAAATATTATCTGATATCAATCTGATGTTTTTTTTTTTTTACCTGAACGCTACAGGTTTTTTATTAGTCAGTGCCAAAAAACCTTGCCAACAATTCGGAGAACAAAAAAAAATTGCCATCTGGCTCGATGCATCTTTGTGAACTCCAACACACTGAGCCTGAAATATTATTCTGCAATATTATGTAGTATTATTTTATTTGGATGATAGGTTTATTGCTATTCTCTGTTGATATGTATTTTGTTTAATGTGCATGTTAAAATCATTAAATTTTAATCCGTTTTTTTTACCTGAACGCTACAGGTTTTTTATTAGTCAGTGCCAAAAAACCTTGCCAACAATTCGGAGAACTAAAAAAAATTGCCATTTGGCTCGATGCATCTTTGTGAACTCCAACACACTGAGCCTGAAATATTATTCTGCAATATTATGTAGTATTATTTTATTTGGATGATAGGTTTATTGCTATTCTCTGTTGAGATGTATTTTGTTTAATGTGCATGTTAAAATCATTAAATTTTAATCCTAAACAAACTCAAGCAGACAGATATTATTATAGCTTAAAACATACAATAAATCAAAATGAACAACTGGCAGGAGTTTTTACCAGGGTAGGGTTGCACTAGCCATTCGTAAGATCTTATGTAAATTAGAACGTTAAGTCCACACTAGAGGCTTAGTAACTACTAGCTAGTTTGTAACTAAATCTATACATTATTCAGTTGCACCAGTTCGTAAGGCAGGACGTAGCTAGTAGTTCGTAAGCTCTCCATAAAGTAATGTGTAATCGCATAATATGACGTTTACCCTAAATGATCCAATAGAAGCCTTCAAATACGCGAGCAGAACTTGTTTATTAAATGCTGTGAATTTCAATTTATCCTTCATTCTAACTTCTTTTGCCTCACACAACTATCGGTAAAATAAGTTTCCATTAAAAACGATACTACTTAATCATGAATAACGTTAGCCTATAGGTAAGCTATGTAATTATTATCCAGAAGCTGTAATTGAAATGAAAAAGGATCAATAAATACTGAAAGAAAAAATGAACATAAGAAATGGCATTTATATATTATGGCTGATGTCACTTGATATGCGCATCCTGACCGGGCGCTTCTGTAAATATTTAGTTTATACATAGAGTTACGCTTCAACTAACTGTAATGGTGCAACGAAAAAATATTTAGAAGTGCGTAAGTTGTAACTTAGTGCCTGTCTACGTCAAAACTAGGCTAAGTTGTAACTTGCGTACAGCTGGTGCAACCAGCCCCAGGAGTTTAGAGAATGTTAGCTTATGAAAATTCATTGCATTTATTTATGTTTTATATCTGGGGTCTCCGAGACCCCAAACACAGCAATTTGTAAGTAATATCTTTTATAAAGGATGTTGAAATTTGATCAAAAATCATTTAACATAAGATTACGGAAAGTTATGATGTATCAACCTCACTTCTCAAACAGAGCATTTAGCGTTCAGATCCCCAAGAAAATCAAATTTTACTTAAATTTGATATTCAGAGTTGATTATTGTTTGGATGATGGAAAAAATCATGGGTTCGATGCCCAGGGAAGGCAAAAATCGATAAAATGGGTACCTTCAATATAAGTCTTTTTGGATTAATGTGTCTGCCAAATGCATAAATGTAAATGTAAATAACCAACCTGTGTGCCAATTTTTCCCTAAATATTTTCTATGTAGCCACAAATATCATTTATCATTTTTGGAAATTTGGAACTTGATAATAACAAACCCTCACCGACTCAGAGCTGTGAGCATGTGTGTGAGCACTGGGCTGATGTGGAGATGAGAGGGGTGCAGGTTGGCTGATGACCACCGCGTCCATGCCCGAGGGGTGTCTGGGAGAAGGTGGAGGGGTGACCGGGAGCAGCAGGTCGGCCTGGGGCTGCTCGCACAGACTATAGTGGTTCAGAGGACCAGAAGAGTGTGCGTTCTGCAAGGCCTCTGGGTTCTCATCCTCAGAATCAGACAGCAGTGGGCTTTCTGCACGACCTGAAACCAGGAATAGCAGATAAGCTTGTCTATGGCTGTCCAATTAGAGCGCAAAACGCATGTGCATGCATGTCAAACAGACGGAGTGCAATACAATTCGAGCACAATAATTCTAACTAAAAGATAAGTTTTGCTAAAATATTTGGCAAAGTGGAAGAACATAATTTACAACACCACAAACTGCAGTACAAAGAGTGTGTTGCAGCCAGTTGCAGCAGTAAAGACTTTATTTAATGAAAAAGTTGTATTTTTTGTTAACGTAAATGCACTGAAGTCGACACTGCATTCATGCAAAAGACCTGTCTGCGATTGGTTACAATGTATTTTTTGCAGTGGTTAAGCAATGCAAATATACATTTTTTCATTTATTGTGTAGTCCTACTGCTTAGTATGATTTTCCTGGTTTGCATAACCAAAACTGTTGTGTAATGCTGCCTTTTCAGGGCAGACTTTTCACTATCAGCATAATGTCTGGTAAACTTTGAAAGTTATACTGGCCAAAAAGCTGTTCATCTTTACTCCTAAAAGTTTTGTAACACAAACAAATCATATTGCAGCTTGCCATTTGCCATTGTGGGAAAACTTTCCATTTTTGCACAAAATACGTCAGGTCTGAGCACTCTGAGGTACAGATAATGTGTCTATAATAAAGCAGTGATATATTCCGATGTTGTGTAGTATGGCAGAGTTGTGTGTGCGAAAGGTGGGGTTGGTGTGCTGTGTTGTACGGTGGTGAAGTCTCGTCATTGTGCAGGGCCGTATAACGCAGTGGTGTGTGGCATTTTATGATGTGGCTGTCTGCTGCCTGGAGTTTCTGTGGTATTGTTGTGTGAGGGCAATAAAGAAAAGAGACAGACCCACAATAGTGTCGTTGTGTAGTGATGTTTGTATAGAATTAAAGAAAGCTCAGTGACTCACTGCTCTGCAGCAGCACCGTCTCACTCCATTTAGAATCGCTCAGCACCTCCAGCCTTCTCTCCAGCTGACGGCTGTACTCCATCACTTCCTGCGCGCACACACACACACACAGTTAACAAACATCACATTGTAAGATAAATTAATGTTACACTGTAATGTTTAAAATACCATACTGTCCATCATCCTCTTCCTAAATAATGGGTGTCTTAACAGGTCAGATTTCAGTAAATAGTTGGTACTTTGCTTGTTAGGGTTGCATGAAATAGGAAATGTAAGGGTTTTTGTTGTGATTGGCCCGATACCAATGTGAACACAATACAGCATGACCAGTGTTGTGTGATTACTGAATAACTAAATATTTTCAAGAAGACTAATCAGCATTATTTCTGTTTTTAGTGTCATCAGGACAAATACACATCTATGATTACCTCTAAAATCCTGTTTGTCCCAGACCATGCATTTCTGAGTGCACTCATCTTAAGTATACTTAAGAGTTTTTATTTGCAAAGTTTTTTTTTTGTTACATCCATTTGCAGTTTCCTTTTTTTCTAATTTTCTTTTTTCTCAGTACAGCTATAAAAAAAATTATAGTAATTACTTAGGAAACTGGACACCTTATTTCTGTATTTAAATCCCTCAGCCCGCTCGGCTGCTCAGGTTCCCATGTAAGCGTATTTACTATGTGGAAAATTGCTTTAACCCAGGAGCCCAGCGCTGTCAAGACATTCAGAGAGCAAAACATAGAGACTGCTTGCATCTGGTGTTTAAGACTGGCACAACAGCATGTTTCTGCTATGCCTTCAGGCTCATGTGAATGAGATGGTTGTTTACCAAGAAACTGTGCAAACTTGTAAACTTGTTGGATGACCTGTGAGATTTTTTGAGATGGCTTTAATAAGAATAAGACAGAACTGAGCACTTGAGAGTTTTGTGAGAACCGCAGAGAACTTGCCTGTATTTCTGTCTGCAGCTGCTCCTTCTCTTTCTGAGCCACCCTGAGACTGGCCTTCAGCTCCTGCAGCTCACGACGAGTCTCGCTTAGCTGAACCTGACCACACAATCACAAATTTCACAAGAGTACCAGAAACCATAAGAGTACATGTCTTAAAATATTTAGGTTGCATTACAAATGTAATTCATTCCTCAATTTACATTATATAAACATGTAAATGGTCTAGGTTATTCTAGGTCACTAAACAAATGTAAGCAAGTATGTGATATTGACCATGTTAACTCCTACAAAGTGCGCTGTTAACACTGTTAAACAGACAGGACTCAAATCATATTGACGTTCGGTTAAAATCCTAATTGTTTTATTACTGACTGTTTACTTAGTTACTTGAAAAACTTGAAACTATGTTTACTTGAGATTGGGCTACATGTCATTGTTTAAAATTAATTTGTTAATTCAATTAATATTTTAAATGATTAAATAAAGATTGTTCATTAGCATGTTAGCTTTTGCAACAAAAATGGCATCAGTAATCATGACATTTACCTGGTTTGGTATTGTCTAATGACAACTGAACATATTATCTACAATAAAAAAAAATAAAAAAATAAAAAATAATATATATATATACAGTGGGGCAAAAAAGTATTTAGTCAGCCACCAATTGTGCAAGTTCTCCCACTTAAAAAGATGAGAGAGGCCTGTAATTTTCATCATAGGTATACCTCAACTATGAGAGACAAAATGAGGGAAAAAAATCCAGAAAATCACATTGTAGGATTTTTAAAGAATTAATTGGTAAATTCCTCGGTAAAATAAGTATTTGGTCACCTACAAACAAGCAAGATTTCTGGCTCTCACAGACCTGTAACTTCTTCTTTAAGAGGCTCCCCTGTCCTCC